GCTGGCCCATGGGGGGGAGTCTATCCGAACCATGTACAATGGTGGATATCAATGCCGACGTGCACAAATGCGACTCCTCGCCGCAATTCTTACGTGATATTGGATTGCTAACTGATGATGTATGGTACCCTTTTGATCAGATTCTCACTGGAGTATTGCATGTTGACGATTTAGTAGCGTTCTCTAAGGTGTATTGTGCTGGTTGTATCAGCAAGTTCATCTTGCCCATTTTCCCCAAGGACGTAGGATTTGAGGAGGAGGACAGAGGACCAACCATGAGAGTGTTATCGACTGTCATCCACATCGATGCGGACTCTAGGATGCATTTCATGCCAATGAATGCGAATGTCGGGTTCGGTCTGGGCACCTCTCCGGTCCAGGCGCTGTTGAAGTTCGGGCAATTCTACCATCCCTCACTCCAAGGTTTCAGGCCGTTTCGTGAATACTTAATGGGGGTGATTCTCATGATGAACAAGTTGGTTTCAGGGTCTACTGAGTACACGCTCCCATTTGTCTTTGCAGTGTGCTTTGAACCGATTCGTTTGTCGTGGCCGGCCGCATATGTGTGGAAGACGCTCAAAAGCATACCACGTCGTCACCAAACCCCTTTCACGATTGCCGTGCGGCAGTTTGGGCGAGCAATGAAAAGAGGCTTTTGGCCCGAGCTATATTTGTTGGCTACACACCAGGCTAGCGAACTTGTTCCACGAGCATTCTTTGTAGAGATGGCGAAAGGTGACAATGACACGAAGGGCGGCAAGGGTTACGGCCATCAGCGTCGTAACGACTCGGGTGGTTCTTGGGGCTTTACGGGAAAAGGTGACTACGCTCAGCAACGGGATCGTTGGGTTCAACAGGCGCAGCAAGCTAACGGTTCGGCTCCCGAGTGGCTCATGCGTGCGATGAAAGCTACGACAGCGCGTGCACAAGAGGCTGAACAAGCACTGCAGGAGAAAGAGCGGGACCAGCAGAAAGAAGAGATTCGCAACACGATCCTAGAAGGTGTGTCATCAATCTTCGGACTGCCGCCGCCGGCAGCAGTGGTACCTAAGAACTCTACGGGGAACGATGGCAAGACGAAGAACAGCCACTTCCGCTTCTTTTCCAAATTCCTGAGGGTGCTGAGGAGGGGCGACAGTGACGAGTCCAACCCCCCGCAGGCGAGTGACAAGAAAAAGAAGAAGAAAAAACGTAAGCATGAGTCGTCGAGTTCTTCGGAGTCTAGCAGCTCAGAGGACGATATGATGAAGATGATGCGCTCCATGTGCAAGAAGAAAAAGAGGAAGAAGGGGCGTAATGCTGGAGGAAGTGCGCGTGACCAGCCCCCGTCGCAAGGAGCCCATGCTGTGCGTCCCCTACGTCCGCCAGGAGGTGACCCGGGCGGGAAGCAACGCGAGATGATGAAACAGATCTTGATCTGCTTGGAGATCCCAGATTCTGACACGGATGAGAGCTGGTTCGAAAGCGTCGAGGACTTTTTCGATAAGGTCAACTCCATGACTACCACGGATAAGCTCCAGAAGGCTATCGACAGGTGCCTCCCGCCGGGCATGGCCAAGGGCAACACCAAGATGAAGATGATCCGCCAGCTCTGGGACTACACCGGGGGAGATTAGAGCAGTTCCAAGTACGACCATCATAAGCATAATGACGATGAGAGATATACTCCTGGTCATTGTTACGTACCTCTCCCAGCTGCCGAGGGTGATCGGCAGCGAAGTGTGCCGGGCAGCATTCATTGTGCTCGTGGGGCCATGGGCTCTACTGGCCGACGCTGTTGTCCTCATCCTCAGCGCGCTGATCTGCAGACGATTCCTGAGTGAGCCCTGCATTGCCGCGTGCGCAGTGACAGTTGCAAGCGTTGCTATGTTCGCGCTGTGCTATGCGTGTTGGATTTGTAGGGCCACACTAGTAACAGCTGTAACTACAGCTGTCAACTCGCATGTCCTTAATCATACCGTCCCGCCCATCTTCAACTACACGTTTCAGCCAAATGTAGAAGTGTTGCAATATGACGACTCTGTCCTGAGTTTGGTGTCAGCTCTGTTCAGTTGTCTTCGCATTGTCGTCACCGTCTGCTTGATTCTGGGAATCAAGCTGCTCCAGGCTGTAGGTGTAGCAATTCTGACCTGCCCCCGGATCGCTCTCGGAATGAGCGTAGCTGTATGGCTCAGGCCCTGTGCGGTGAGGGGGGATCCTTAAACCCCATTACCATCTCCCAAGGCTGGTCAGGGCCAGTCTTTTTGAGCATCTTACTCTTATCTCATCCCATACATATATCCCATAGCATCTCCTCTATTCTGTCTCCTTCTGTGGTGTACTGCGAGTGCTCTGACCCCACGTCCGAGAGCCGGGCGTGACAGAAACCGAGGCCGGCGACTGCCGAGAGAAAAAAGACAGGAATCGTCGTAACGCCAGGGGCTGGGGGTTAGCAAGTGCCGCAGTTGCAAGATAGGCTCCTTGGAACTTTATCGTATCTTCGAGTCTTTCGACTTCCGCGCTGACTTCATCGAGATCTTTGGTGTGGAGGTGTACAGAAGGGGGTCTGTCGTAACGGCGCTTCGCGTGGAGGGTTGTCGTAACGGCGGTCTGGGAGGAGGAGGTGTGTAACAGTATTGGAAACACACACACACACACACACACACGCGCGCGCGCGCACAAACACACACACACACACACACACTCACACTCACACTCACACTCACACACACACACACACAAACTCACACAAAGAAACGTTCATAATGTGTAAAGGAAAAGAGAGGAGAGAGAGGAAGGATAAGGCAGACAGAACGGCGAGGAGAGAGGTTAGCACGGAGCCCGAGGCTGCTGCTGGGAGCAACTGTTCGTCACAGGCTGTACTGCCAGCTGTCAGCTCCAAAGACGAGGGAAAGAAACTCCAGGATCTCTTTGCTCTAGGACCTGTTCTCTTTACGTCGAGCGGGGAAGGGGTCATGAAATCCCAGCGCAAGTCCCCACAGGAGACGGAGAGGAGGGAGAGGAGGGGGGGAGGGGGGAGGGGGGAGAGGAGGGGAAGGCAGGCTAGGTGCGCGCGCGGGTGCCATGTCATCCTATCCCTGAAAGGAAGCCTCGGGCGCGACGTCTTCGATCGTCGAGGAGAGGCGACGAGAGCAGTGTCATGAGGCGAGGCTACGCGATGAGGACCTTGAATGTCCTCGCAGTCCTCGGCCACTCGATTTCGGTCACACCGCCCCCGACGGCCAGGGACGACCAGAAGACCTGGAAAGACCTGGAAACCTGTCGGCGACTCCAAAGAGTGTGGTTCGCAAAGGGTGTGGCTTGCAACCGGCACCCTGGGGAATATCCTGGGGGGCACCCCAGGGGGCACGCGGGGACCTCAATAGAGTTCCCCCGCGCCCCGAGGAGGCCCGACGAGGACAGTGTCGTGCCCCCCAGGCCCCAACGGTGCCGATCGCAAACCACACCCCGGCGTAACCATACCCTTTCTAGTCGCCGAATCTGGGAGCGCATCAACATCGTAGGTTACCCGACTTCGTGAATCGCGCCCCGCGATGCGCAGGTGCGCTCGGGCGCGGCCCTACCGACCCCTGGCACACCATCCCCTTCAGTGACCGTCATCCTCGCCTCACATTGCCTCACATGAGCATCGTTTAACCAATCCCATCCTCAGCGGCGTGGCCTGTGCCCTTGGCCGATTTACTCCCCTGGATGGGGATACAAGCCTTTCCCTTCGGGTTTCGAGGGGCGTATCCCCAACTGGGGTGGTAATTTGGTAGGGGTCTCGAAGGGGATGAGGATGGGGATGGGGGTCGGTTAAACGATCCTGATACAAGCTTCCCTATGGCCGCATACATACGTATTGGGGCGAGGCGAAGGGGACGTCACGGAAGGGGATAGTTCTGCTGGGGACCGATTAGGCTGCCCCTGACGCGCGATCATCTTCTAAGGAACCGAACTCTATACACCGACGCCTTTTCCGGCCCTGCACTCAAATCTGCAGCCAGGAAAGCGGATCCTGGTGTATACGGTGTATACGGAACCCTGGTGTATACATGTTTCACTCTCCCTGGGAAAATGGAAGAAAAAAGTATACACCACACCACCCCGACGTCGTCCCCAACCCTTACAAAGTCCTGGGATTGAACAACAGCCCGCCAGTGGCCCCTTAAAAAGTCCTGGGATTGAATAACAGCCCGCCACTGGTGATGTATATGCTCTAGTTTCCGATCTTCCCGCTCTGGCGCCGCCCCCTGGAGAAGGGCGCCTCTCCAACATCCTCCAACCCAAGCCGCGATGCGCGAAGCGCGATCATCTTCGCGCACCCTCGTGCGACACCAAGTCTCACTCTTCCTCGCTCCTCTGTTGCTCGGGCATGGACTAGACTTAGGTCGGGCATGTACCCCTACAAGCGGATTTTGGAGGAAGAATTGAAACAACACAACAACAACAAAAACTCACAAATAATCTCAACAAATCGTTCCCTGACTATCTTTTTACTATTTTCGAATAGTTCCCCTGTAGAGGGACAGGCCCGACTTAAGACCAACCCGGCTCAGCACAAACCCGGCTCAGCAAACACAGGGAAAACTGCCCTGCAATTGTTTGAAGGGGTTCCCAAACCCGGTTTCCCAAACCTGGCTCTGGCAATTTGTGAGGCCATCTCCAGGGCCGCGAAATGCTCCCAAACCTAACTCCCCTAAACCTGGCTTCGCAAGAACCTGCAAGATCTGGCGCTCAGGCTGAGATCCGTTTGCGCTGAACCCAATTGCCTGCCAGCTAATCTGTGATCGCCCGCCACGCCCCCTTGGTTTTCGGATCATATCTCGGTTCGCCAACGGCCGTTCAGGACGATTTGGGCAGCCCCAGAACGCTCTCGACGAGACGAAGCTGATGGAAACCACCGCAGGCCTCGAGGACGGTAGAAAAACTGCCGAAAGCCGCATTCGAAAACCTCCGATGACCCCCGAATGAATCCCCCCGAACGTTGCGCAGGCGCCCGCGCGCCCGCCGGGGCGGAC